GTTTAGGAGTCGGCCAGTACTGACAGAGACCTTTAAAGACACCATTGGGTCGTTCTCTGTAGGGTGCCTGCCTTGAGGTGGCTTCTCTCCTAGAAAGAAAAAGAGAGGGACAAAGTAGGAAAGGAAGAAAGGAAGAAAGCAAGCAAGAAAGAAGCTAATTAGTCCCATGCAGGCGCGTCTGCCTTCTGAAAGCCTGTGCGGTGTAGGAGACCGGCAGGGTCATTTCGGCAGGGCCCTGCTGGCTGACCCGCCGGGATTCGGCCAGTTCACCCATTAACACAGCCTCCTGTGAGATGAGCGCTCTTCTCACGGCGAGTTAACGCTGGATTAGATTCGGAGATTTCAAGGAAATTCCAAGTGGAACGAATCGCGTTTTCCTTCTGTTCGCTGTAGAATCGGCCAGGGGAAGGCGCCAGGCTTTGGCAGACTGCTCTCCGGTGCCCAGCTCGGGTCTCTGTGGACTGGAGATCGCGGAGTAACTCCGTGGCTAGCAGCCGGCTGCAAGCTCGCTTAACCTCAACCAGTCGGGATCTATTCTAGTCATGGGTCCCCTATTTAACAAAGGCAGCAGAGACCCGGCTAGAGAGAAGGCAAGCTGGGGCAAGAATCTTCGTGTCTTCCACGAGTGGCCTGGCCGCTGGGGAAGGTTTGTTTAGGCAGCAGAAGCGGGCTGCAAGCCGGTCAGCTTCTCTTTGTGTCAATATCCTAGTTGGAGGTAATCCTCCGAAGCGGCAACAAGATTCGCACAGAGAAGCGGCTTGCTCTAGTCCCAGCCCCAACGATTCCTCCAGGTTTGGGGACTGGGTTTAAGCGGTTTCCAGTCCACCAGGGCTCCAGCGATTCCATTGCATTTTCCTGCACAAAGTGGCTCTGGAGCCTGTCTGCTTTTACTCAGAGCGAACCTGAAAACAAATGAGTTGGGGGCAACACACTGAGAGGTGGGCAAGCGTTGGCTCAGTCATAAAGCAACTGGGAAACAAGATGGCTAGGGCTGGCTCCCCTGCTTCTTCCCTTACTGGCGGAAATCCAAAGGCCCGCACCACCTCTCTCTGTCCAGAATTCTGCTGCCCAGAGGTCATGCCCAAGCCCTTGGGGAGATAGCATCAGACTCAGTGGTCTTCCAGTGTGCATCCGTGTGGAGAAGCAGCTCCTTCCAGGTGCTGGTTAACCAACTGCTAATGTCTAAGCCTTCCTGCCGGGCCTTCAATCTGCCCCCTCCTTGGGAAGTGCTCCCTCCTCCCATTCTCAATCTCCCTGGCAGCACAGTGGGGGCTGGGCCAGCCTTGCTTCCAGAGCTAGTGGAAACCCTTGGCTTCTTTGGAAAGACCCTTAGTTCCTGTGCCCAAAGCTGTGTGCTTGCCCAGTGTAGTCTGTCTCTGGGTCCCAATTTGCTGGCGATGAGGGCAGAGAAAAAAGGCTCTACAAGGTGGCCGGTATTGCAGGGTCCTTTGCTTCATCTTTATTTCTGGCTCTGGTCAGTTTTTCCTTGTTGCCTACCTTCTCTGCCCCCCTCAGCCCCCAACCAATTCTGCACAGGACAGCTTCTGTTGGGAGGGACAGGCCCTACTGCCTAACAATCTTCTGAGTTCAGAGGTATCCCACATCCTCCTCCAGTTCCATCAAGCACACTGGCACAGTGACTCTTCCCCAGATGGTTCCTCCCTCTGAAGCATTTTGCCTGCTAGTTAACAAAGTACTTTTGAGGCCAATGCCACACCTGAGTGTGACCCAAACTGTCAGTTACCAGCCATTTTCCAGAACAGGATACTGAGGCTAGAGAGAAAAAAAAGACTGGCAAAGATCAGCTGCAGCTGGTTCTTGGGAATAGAGGCATGCTGTTCGGCTTTGGAGAATTAATGGAAGGGGGGAAAGAGAAGGACTTGGTCCCAGAGAGGCCAGTTGGAGTGTACACACATGCAAGGCTCCGCCTCTATAGTCCAGCTATGTCTGTCTTCACAGCATGTGTGTCAGCACTTGGCTGTCCGCTTGCTCTCTGTGATCCTGTTTGCCTCTGCCTTCTGTGTTGGTGCATTTAGAAAGAATTTCAATGGTCCGGGCTCTTGTAGTTCAGTCTTCAGCTGGCAGCAGGCATCACCTTCCTAATTATCTGTGCCTAACCATAGTTTTGGGGGAGTGTGGGCAGTGTCCTTTGTGGTCAATATACCCCTAACAAGGTCTGAGGAGCATCTGCAGAAACTAGTTCCTTCTGGAGCAGAGACACAAAGGTCCTAGGGTCATCCGCAATTCCATCGTTCTACCAGCCTTCAAACCCTGCTCTTCCAGACGGGGCCGGTCTTTACTTTAGCTGCATCTGTGTGTGTTTCCCGGTGTGTACCTAACTTGTTTGCATTCATTTCTGTGCAGTCTCTAAATTCTGCTCCTCTTAGGAATGATAGCCGAGTTCATGTCTTGGCCATGTGCCCTCCTGGCAGATGAGCCCTCACCTAGCTGGAACCCACGGTAGAACTTGGGACTTCAGTCTTTGAGGAGATACAAAGCTGGAGAAAGACCTGAGAGGGAGGGAGAGGAAACAAACCCCCACCCATAGAGACCTGCCCTCTAGAGATCCCCTTCCATTTGTTAGTCTATTTAGACTTTTCCATTCCTTCCCCCACTCCCTCTGCCTGCCTAATCTAGTCTCTGTGCCCTATTTCGCCTTCCCTTCTTTGCCTTCTGTCTCATTCGGCCCTCCTCTCTATGGTAGAGAGAGTATAGAGAGTCTATAGCATCTATATCCTGTGCACATACCTCTCTTTCCCTGTCCCACCTCCACTCTCCCTCAGACTTTGGACTTCCTTTCTTACCAATCCTAGATTAGCACCTTTCCTGAGGCCTGTCTTAAAGTGCTCTGTTGGCTAGATTCATGAATGAGGTAAGAGGACCAATAGGTTCTGGGGCCTGTCCAGAAAGTTAAGAAAAGTAAGAGTTACCTATGTCTAGTCCATGTCAGCTGGAGGCACTTGCCTTGGAATCCGCAAATTCCTTAGTATTTGGTGGCCAAAGGGAGGTAGTTTGGGGAGTCTACTGTGATTTAGGGAGACCTGACTCCAGGAAACTCTTGGGTTTGTTTGTTTTTGTTTTTGTTTTCTTATGGTAAAAACCTACAGATTCCCTACAGAACTGCTCTTGGCATTGAAGTGCTCTGAAGGCTGCCACCGTGTTTTGGGCAGGAAGTCTCAGTTGTTAGTGGTTTAGTAAACAATGATTGCAGATTGGCTGCAATACCTGGATCCTTAGATTATAGCAAATGTGTGCTGTGTCTTTCAGCTGCCTTTCCTTGACATGTGTCCTCCCAATGAGCACACACCAATTATGGGTATGCTTTCTTTTACTTAGATCCAGCCTCTTCTGGAAAAATTGGTTCACCCTTTCCCCCCTTAGATGATCTCTGTCCCAGAACAAAGCTCTTGCTCAGGGTTGCTGAGATCTTTCTGTTTTAAGTAAACTATGCAATTATGTCCCTAGCTATAAAACTCTGTTCAGGAAAATTTTCTCTCTTCCTATTTTTTTCTTCTCCTGTGTGCAATGCTTCAGAACAATCAAAATTCCTTAAAGGTACATTTTGACAATCAGAGGAAAATCCAGTGTAGTTTGGAACTAAGTGATGTAAATTACCATTTAAAAATTGTGGTTTTCTTGGAAATAGCCTGAACTTGGAGATTTGGGAAACCCATTTGTGAATTTGTTAGATACTTTTAAGGATAAAGGTTGTTTTTAGGAGTGTTTTATTCCTCAATTTCAGATGTTCATGGGCCTGCTTGTAGATCAGTTTTGGACTGGGATAGGGTGGTGGTAGCCGAACTGTGGGTGTTGTTTCTCTGTTTTAAAGTTGGGGGGTGGATGTGTGTGACCTTGGAGGTGCCTTAACTTCTCTTCTAGAGTTCAGCCTGTCCTAGGCTAGGCAGTTTCCCCTCCTTGGCCTCTGAGTTGTCAACAGCATCAAGATAATTCTCTAACTTGGCTTCAGTTTCAATCTTCAGCAATGCACGTTAGCATGCTTCAAAGCTATAAGGGCCAACAGACTCTGCATTGTATTGGTCCGTTTAGTTTACTCAGGTCCTGCTTCCTTTCAGCTGGAGGTGATTACCAGTTGGAACATCAGAGCGGAAAAGGGGCTTTCTCTGACTCCTTTTACTTAAAATACATTCTATGGCACTCGTAAAAATCTGGTACTCAGTTGCTTTATTTCCTCCTAACCAACTTTAACCTGCTTGCAAATTGCAAAACTTGCCCAAAATTTCAGGGGCACACCTTTCTAACAAATCCTGGTTCAGTGGAGTGTGCCGTGTGCAGAAGACCCTGTGACTCCTTTCTTTTGTGTGCTCTGAGAGGGTACAATGGTCAGGCCTGTGCGTCAACCTCACCGTCTTAAAGGAAGGCTTTAAATTTTTCTTTCCTATTTTTAAATTAAGGCAGCGGTTAGGTTTTGTCTCCGTGATCTGAAGATGCTGGTCATTAAAAAGAAAGTCTTCAGTTCTTGAATTAGGTTGCTGATGCAAAAACACTTTCCCCCTCGATAGGTAGATCTTAGAACAGCCTGTTTCACTTCGAAGACATTTGTTAAAAAGAAAATGGATTCCACTATTTTCTTTTCCTCTTTAAATTTGATTATCCTAAGATATAGTTTTCTCCCCAGGATCTCCCTCAAATTCAGCACTGTGTAGTAAACCAGGCTCCTTTCATATAGATTTCTTTTACACATTCCCCTACCGATTCCCGCAAATGAAGAGGAAAATGCTAGTAACTAAAAGAAAAACAAAAAACAGTGTGGGGAGCTACCAGTGGCTCTGTTGACTGCCTGCAGATGAACAAAAGCTAAGACCGGTGTTAAAAAGCAACCTAGGGTCCTCATGTCATCTGCATGATTGGACTCCCGGGTGCAAGACATTTAGCCTGCCAGCATTTGTGACCAGAGGGCTCTGGGTGCTGAGACGGGCACTTCTACTATGTGATTGGTTCTAACCACCCTTCCCCTTGCCTTTGTTTCTGATCTGTTTCAGGACATGGAGGAGTGAATCAGCTTGGGGGGGTTTTTGTGAATGGACGGCCACTCCCAGATGTAGTCCGCCAAAGGATAGTGGAACTTGCCCATCAAGGTGTCAGGCCTTGCGACATCTCCAGGCAGCTTCGGGTCAGCCATGGTTGTGTCAGCAAAATTCTTGGCAGGTAAAGGACGGGCTCCAGGCTTCCCTCAATGTTTGAAGAAAGATCTAAGAGACAGTCCGCAGCTGCTCAAGGTGCCAGTGTTGACAGTGAGACACGGCAGCATTTTGCTCTCCACACTCAGTACTTGAGAGTTTGCAACATCTATTGAGATCCTCCTAATCAAAGAAGCTGTGGGACCCCCTGTTTTCAGTGACATGTGGAATAGGGTGACTTTGTCAGGAGGAGCAATATGTTTCTCAAAAGTCTGGTGGATTATTTTAAGGAATCCAAAAGTCAGAGGCTCTTGGGAATTTCTTCCAAACCTCTTAGGCGAGCCTGGGGTCAAGGGAATGGCTGGGGTTGGGGGGCATACATTATTTTATACAACCATAGCTGATTGTTTCTTTCCTTATTTTCCTTTTTCTCTTTTGGTGCTTGCTAAGTGATTGTCTACCACTGAGCTATATTGCCCACCCTCACTATTTTCTTTTTGAATGTTTTCAGAGAGCACTCAATATTTAAAATCCAGCCATCATCTTCAGTTGTATCATCAGCCTTCTCAAGTTGCTGCAGGGTTTTCTTTCTGTGTGTTTTGTTTCTTTTTTTGTAGTGACAGGCATCCTAAGTACATATTAAATTAGACAAAACAGCAGCAAACACTAACTCTCAAATCTGACATTTGAAAGTTGCCACTTGACCCAGCAATTTGCTGCAAGCAAAATACTTACAATGATAGTCCTCTCAAAGGACTGTGCAGATGGTTAGCCTCATGTTTATTTTTCTTTTTTCTTTCTTTCTTTTTCTTTTTTGCCAGCCTCAGCATGATACAGGAAAATTTCAAAATGAGGAAATAAACCTTTCTAGGGCTGACTGGCATATGTCTGGTCAAGTTAGCACTTGGGTTGGATGGGGGCCTAAATGACTCTGGAACTCTGTCTCTTTCCATAACCCCAAAACATATTGATAGTTGTTTTGTTGCTGTTGTTGTTTGTTTGTTTCTTTGTTTTTGTTTTTTAATGTCCTGGGTATGTGACATTGTTCTAGGTCTTCCCGGGCAGACAGGCACATTCTCGGTTTAGCTCTTCAGGGCTTTCTTGCTATTTCTCTCCCTGGGGTCAGTGATCCTCGTCTTTGTTCTGGAGCTTGCGTTATGGTTCAACAATTGACACCTGACTGTCAATCATGAGCATTTTGAAGTATTTTCCAAGTTTTCTCAGTTACATCATGACTTTCTGTTCTGTCTGTTGGAATTTAAAATTGTTCCAACAGTGTCAACACTGTTAATAATAGTAGGAATAACCCCCTATGTGGGTTGATCTTGATTAAGCCCAAAGGAAGACGTCTTAGGGACAGGAATCTGGCAGTTCCATTAGAGCCACCTATCCCTGTGCTTATTCACCTTCCTGCCCAGTGTGGGTCATATCAGCAATGGGGACGAGGGCTCAGCCCACTTCTGTTAAACACTCAGCCAGCAAATGCCTTCCAGCCTGAGTTCAGGAAGGAGCCTAGGAAATCAGCCTGGTGGCCATGTTAGATGGTGGGTTAGGGGAAGATGGGAGCGGGTGCAGCAAAAGGAAGTAGCCTTCAGGGAGATGGAAGGAAGAGAGAAGACAAAGGGAAGAAAGAATAGAAAACACACAAGAAAAGAGGGTGAGAGAAAGCTGTCTTAGAAGTCACTAGTTTCACTTTTGGAGCCGAATGGTCCCTACCTTCTATGTAAGATGCTTCTTTGTGGGGGGTGGGAGGGGGAAGAGAGGGGAGGCCCTTCCTTTGTTTTTCCTGAGACATCTTTGCTGAGCTGACATTCTGTTCACTGTTTGAACACTTCAAGCTGCTGAGAGCCTTTCTCAGACATCCGAATGACTGGGTCTCATGTTCTAGAGCCCCAGAGCCCTCTACATCTCCCGTGGAGACCGAGGTGGACAGGGATCCTTCTAAAGTCAGGTCAGCAGACTCCCGTGGACCAGAATAGATTTGTCACTGGGCAGAGTGGCACTCGGAAGTTATGCGCCGCTCCGGTGCCTGGCCGTTTAAGTTGTCAACAATAAATTGGAATTTCATAGCTCATTATTTTCATAACTAAGAACCACAGTGGACAAAATGTCACTCTAATTAGAACTGCCTTTTAAGAAACAAGTTCAGCCCTAAAACAGTGTGACTGGGAATTTCTGAACTTGGCCTGTTTGACCCACAGATTGCCCCCACCCCCTAGAAGAATTTGATGGGTATTCACGAGGTAACAGATATAGAGTGCTTGGTGTGTGGTAGCTGTGGTTTTCAAAGGCTGTGGAGCAAGGCAGGAAAAGTCCTTGGGAGCAGGAAAGGGTTCCTGTCCCTCCAAGAAGGTATGTGGGCTGACAGGAATGTGGACATTCAGTCTAGAACTCAGAGCTGTAGAGGATCTGAGCATCATACGAAGGCCAAGTCAGATCACGGAGCAGGGCCTCTGTCTCCTCTCATTGTGAATGCCTGGTCATTTGAACTTTGGTGGCATGTCGCACACTAAAAATAAAACAGTGAGGATTTTAACCCCCATCCACGCACTCTACTTTATGCAAATTCTCTCTCTCTGTCCTTTTTTTCCCCCAAAGTCTTCACGGCCATTCTGAATTCTTGTTACCCTAATAGCTCTGCAAAGGAATCTTGGCAAATAGCCTCCCCTATTACAGGAAGAGGGTAACTGAGGCCGAGGAAGGCTGAGTTGGTCAAGATCACACAGCCAGTTGGTATCAGAATCACTACAGGCATGGCACCTCTCCACTCCCAACCGAACGCTCTTTGTGGCTCTTTGCACCGAGGGGCACCGGGCTGGTGGCTGCCGTTTATCTTTTGTCTGTAAAAGCCAAAGGGCTGCACGGCTGTTCTGCTGAGATGAATGGATGGTTATTAAGTCTGAATCCTCACTTGACGCAGTCTTGAGTTGGGGTTTCGGGAGTGTCTGTGTTGCCTTCTAAGAGCCTAGCCCCCGTGTCAGTCAAATGCAAGACAGAGACCTCGAGTGTCAAGACTGCGGAATTCCACAGTTGGCACTGCTCAAGCAGACTGGGCAGGGAGCCCTGGGCTGTCACATACCAGCCATGTAAGCAGGGGACTTTATTCTGCTGCCTGGTGAGTTTCTGCATGGCCACTGTGGTTCTGTTGGATTCATGTATTCTGAGAACACAGTGTGGTCTACGTATATGTAAGTCCTATCCCGAGACTATCCTTGCCCTAAGAGGACCAGGTGATTATTGGTTCATGGAATGAGTGAAGGATGCTTGAAGAAAAAACTCTGCAAATAGTAAATCTCTCTGTCATTGTAAGGATTGCAGCTACTAATGCATAAAATGTTATAATCAAAGCAGAAACTTGTGGTAATGCGGAGAGTATTGGACTCAAAGTCTGGTTTGAAATCTGGGCTGTCTCTATAACTAGAGGAGCTGGGCAAGTCCCTTAGTCTTCCAATCATTTATATTCTCTTCTGTAAAATCCGGCTGACTTCAAAAGATGTGTGAGGACTGTGGTAATTCAAAGAACTCCATACTCGAGAGTGTTGTGCCAGAATAAGGAGTTGTTATGTGATAGTAAATAATTGGCTTTCTCAGCTGGGGAGATGGCTCAGAGGTTAAGAGCACTGGCTGCTTTTCCAGAGGACCTGGGTTCAATTCCCAGCACCCACATGGCAGTTCACAACTGTCTGTAAGGCCAGTTCCAGAGGATCCAACAACCTCACATAGACGTACATTCAGACGAAACACCGATGCTTGTAAAATAAGAGTAAATAAGTTTAAAAGTAATTGACTTTCTCTTGAGAGGTTGAAAGGACGGTAGAGTTGTCCAGAGATGTTGTGTACTAGAATTCAGGTGACTTTCTATCAAAAAATATTTTTTGTGGGTATCTGTTGAAGCCTTTTGTGATTAAGAACATTTTTGCTTCCAACAACTTTATAAAAAAGGAAGATAAGTTGGATTTTGTTTTATGCTTAAAATTGTAAATGGCTCACCCTCCTCGATGACAAGTAGATATGTCTTCACTTCCAGAATATTCGCTTACTTGGCCCTAAACAGACTTACCCAAGCTGAGAGCTTAGCAACCCTATAAACATTCCACCATTGCTTCTAGGACACATTTTCATCCATCCAGTAAAATCACTTCATTCTCTTCCTCTTCCCTTTCTTCTTCTTCCTCCAATTCCTCCTCTTCCTCGCCCTCTCAGCATGTATGTAGCCACATCTCCTTGAAAACTTCCTATCCTCCTGTCTCCATCCCAAGTACTGGGATTGTAGATGTGTGCCACCCTTACCTTACTTCTTATAAATAGTCGAGGTTTAAAACTTATAATTTCTAAAATGTCTTTAAAAATTTTTTTCAACCTCAAGATAATCTTCTTTGGAAGAGGGAATCAGGAATTCCTCTGCAAACACTGAGAGAGACATCAGTGATAGCTAGAATTCAGAAAAAGAAGCGGGTCCCTTTTCCTCCTCCCCTCAAACGAGCTTTCGTGCCACCCCTCTCTCTGGCATGGCTTGGCTGTAAAACCCTGACATCCTATTTGCGTTAACGAGGAAAAGCTTATAGCATGGAAAAGTCCTTAGAAACAGCCATTTACCTCAGGGGAGGCCTCTGGAAGAGCTGTCAAGAATCGTGGTTGGTTTTTCTGATTGCTTGGGATTTGATTTCTAATACACATGTCCCATTAACGCTGGAATCCAACCCTCTTTAATTTTATATCAGGGTTATTGTTTCTCTCTTTTGGAAAAAAAATTGTAGAGAATCTTCAGAGAACTCTGGACATTGTGCTGGGGATGGGAGGGCCAGCAAACTGGAGGTCTATACCACCTTTCTGGGGAAATTTTAGTTCAGGAGGGAGTCCTGACTGGGTACCCTAATCCTTTGTGACTCAGAGAAAGCATCTAACATCTGTAAAGCTGTGTTCACTATCACAGCAGGGGACTTCCCCTCATTGTCCAGGCACTCATTCCTTCATCTTAAACAGTGTATGTGCTTCAGGGCTCTCAGAGGAAGAAGAGGAAAAACTAACTTGCATTTTTTAATGATCTGTAAAATGGTGGATGAATGTGAAAACATTTTGTTAATATGTAGCTTGCTGTTGCATTGTCCAATATATGTATTTTTATAATTATATTATAAAATGTAATATGAGCCATGTGGGCCGTTTGAAATTTTCTCATAGACTACTTAGGAAAGTGAAACTAGTATGATTTATTTTAATTATGAATTTTATTTAACCCAATGCGTACAGATTGTCATTTCAACATACAACCAATATGAAAATGGTTAGTGGGCCGGTCAGATAGCTCAGTGGATCAAAGCGCTTGCTGCCAAGCATAGTGGCTAGGTGTCGATCCCTGGCACTCCTTGGTGGACGGAGTTGCTTTCTGAGCTTGGCACACACATGCACACATGCATGCACATAAAAATACAATTTTTTAAGACATACAATTTAAAAGATTATCGAGCTATTTAGTAGCTTTTGGTACTACATTTAAAAATCTGATTTGCTGTTTATATTTTCAGCACATCTTAAATCACACTTTCAAATGTCCATCCACTTTGCAGGCTCCTGTGGCTGACTATGGCCCTTTCTTCTGGGCTCCCATGGCTAACTGTGGCCTTTTTCTCTTGGGTCTAGGTATTATGAAACAGGAAGCATCAAGCCGGGGGTGATTGGTGGATCCAAACCAAAGGTTGCCACTCCCAAAGTGGTGGAAAAAATCGCTGAGTATAAACGCCAAAATCCTACCATGTTTGCCTGGGAGATCAGGGACCGGCTGCTGGCAGAGCGAGTCTGTGACAATGACACAGTGCCCAGCGTCAGCTCCATCAACAGGTGAGGGCAGGGCGGGCTGGGGCTAGCCTACTGAAGGATCCCTGCTCCCCCTCTCTGAAGATCTGCTTGTTCTCCTTGGGAAGGTGAACAGGGAGAACAATGGTGCTTGCTGGACTCTGTTACCTTTCTCCTCTCTAAAAGGGACAGGACTTCTCAGCTGAGGGAGAGGACACTGTGCCAAACACCCAGGCCACTTGAGTTTTCTGAGCCAGGAGTGATTGGCATCACCCAGTTCACTATGTACCTGTGTAGATCATATAGTATAAACTGCCCTGATCAGGTCTTCAGAAACACCCTGTCCCTGCCAGGGGCTCTAGGTCTGAGTGATAACTCATCTCAGAGGCTCCCAGGCAGACAGTCCAGCCTCCAGTTTGGACAGAGGTTGAAGCACAAGGTGTGGGAAACGAAGTTCCCTTTGGGCTGGGGACATGCAGCTCTTTGTTCTAACCCTGCTGCCGAAGTGAAGTGAGATCTCAGCAAAATCTTGTGTGAGCCCGAGTGTGAGTGTGTGTGTGTGTGTGTGTGTTGTGTTGTGTTTTTCTGAGAGCCCAGGGCTCTAATGTTGGTTTTCTAATGATTCTAGTGTAGGTCTTCAGGGATATCAGGTGCGTCAGAGTAAAAAAGATGCCTGCTCCCACCCTCAGCTCTCGCCCACGGAGAGACAAAAGCCTATTCCACCATGGTGCCAGGAATAGCGTTTTCCTGGAGTTCACATGGTTTCCTTTCTTCTCTCTCCCTTAGGCTGATCCAAAGCATATTGCCCGATACCATCAGAGCTTTAAAAATCATTTTCTGACTTGGAATAGATGTGGTAATACATCTGTGTAATCCAAGCACTCTGGAGGCTGGGGAAACAGTGATTTTGAGGCCAGCCTGGGCTACATAGCAAGACCCCCAACTCAAAAAATAAAATACTACATAAAATGAAAATTACATTCTAGAAGAAAATTTTCCTTCCTTTCTTTCTCCCTCTCCCTCTCCCTCTCTTTCTCTTCCTTTCCTTTTTAATGGGGCAGAATCTCTACTTGATTAGTAGACTCCGTATCTCTACTTGATCTGGAACTTGCTATGTGCTTGAAATGATCCTCCTGTCTCAGCTTCCTGAATGCTGGGTTTATAGATGTACCACCGCCTGGAGAAGGTAATTTTCTATTATAAATAGTGCAGTCTCTGACCCATGTAAGCATGCAGGCAGGAGCAACGGGTATAGCTCGGTTGGTAGACTGCTTGTTTTGCGTGCAGGAAGCCCTGCGGTACATCCCTAGTACCTCTTAAACCTGATGTAGTGGTACAGTTCTCTAATCCCACTATCTGGAATTACAGTAGATTTCCCATCATCCTTGGGCGACATGGAGAGTTGAAGTGAGAGACTTGAGATCCTGCCTCAAAAACCCAAAGAAATAAACAATTAAACCGAGAAGCTCACAGTCGGGGATGGAATGGTGAGCTGAACAGAGACATTTGTTCTCTAAAACACACATTAGAAAAAGAAGTAGGGCATCCTGGAATTGAACCATTCTGATTTCTCCAGAGTCACACCCTACTGCGGCTAGTGCTGAGCCTGCCTGAGCACAGAGAATTACCCACTCTTGAGAGAAAGAGGAGGTCTCCTCTGATCCCGATGGCAGCACGGTGGGCCCAGATGCCCAGCATCACCATGGGATGGATGTGCTGGCATTTTAAGTCCTGCTAATTCATCGACCCAATCCCTACTGAGGCCCTGCCGTCTTGCAAGGTGCTGAAGAAGACAAAAATTGGGTGCAATCCTTTTAGATTTGCCCAGGCAGGTAGACCTGAGGAGGAAGGGACAAAACCAGGGGTCTGGGGTGAGGGGTGTAGAGTCTGTTTTTTTTTTTTCTCTGAGTTACGAAAGGTTACAGTTGTGAGTTCTCCACACCTGACTCCTTACAGGATTTCCTGGACACAGAACAAACTTGATTTTTTTCTGGGTATCCAGGTTATTGTTTTTTTATTTTTAAAAGTAAATTGCATTTCAGAATGATAGCATTCTGCTATCAGAACAGAGAGGTGGCAAATCAGAGATCCGAGCCACCTTTCCAGTGAAAGTTTAGTGGAAATAAATAAACAAGTGTGATTTAAACTACATTTAAGTCCAGAGTAAATCATTTCAAAGAGACACGTAAAGCAAAGCAAGAAGTAGTTACAGACGTGGCAAAGGCCCTGGAGGGTGGACTTGAATGAGTGGCCCAGGACTGCCTGGCACGTCTGATTTTGTGTGTCTAGAACTGTGCTGCTGGAGGTTCTGCTGCTGGCGATGGGCCATGGCTAGATTCTGGGACTTCCTGAGTATCTTAGGCCACACATGTGGTCAGTTATTGTGTCCCCACATGGCCTCTCTATCTGTGGTCTCCCACAACCCTCAGACCTGTTGTCCTGAGGCAGGTGTAGCGCTGAGGCTCAGATGGGAAAAGTGATTGAGATGGAGACCAGAGTAGAACCAATGATAAGATGAGGCCTGTGGGAAGGAGGCCAGGAGGAGACGCCCCCATTCTTTCCCTATTTCAGGGCATCATGGTATGCTTTGCTGACTGCCGATCCCTGGGATCCCCAGCTCTTGGCAGTGCTCCACTCGGGGGCTCCTCACTGCACCTTCAGTGAGAGTGCCCCAAACGTGATGCAGTCTCTTACCAGTGCACCCCCTGACCCCAATCTCACTGGAAAGTCTATGCCATCCACTGCAGAACTGCTTTTATTTTTTATAGGAAGGCAGAGCCCGCTGCATTGAGAATGATGCACCTTCAGATAACCAGCTTGCAAGGGTCAAAAGAAATATAGTCCATAGCTCTCTCCTAGCCGTGCTCCCACCAAGGCGAAGTCTCACTATTCCTGTTTTAAACAGTCAGAGAGGCGATATCTGTATTTATAGTTATCCTAGGGGCCACAGCGTCCTCGCTACCGCTCACCCCTAGAGGCAGGTGCCATCCTGCTGTCTGCAGGAACTTCCTCTGGAAACAGGGCTGATGTGGAGCCAGATATCACTGAAGCACTTCTGCCGGGCTGGTGGGGACTTTCTGGGATGCTGCGCTGCCACACTGGAGAGTCCTGTAGTCCAGGCAGGGTGTCAACTGGAGGTGGCCATCTCAGAGCTTACTGAAATGGTGGGCGGAGTGGGGTCCTCCCTTTTCTGTCCCAGTTCTGTGGCTCCTAAACTAGTGGCCAAGTGCTGGGACAAGTGGCATTCCCGGCCGAGGGAGACCAGCTCTGGTTGGCACTAATTGGTAGGCATGCATGTGGGAAAGTGGGGCCAGCATTACTGGTTCAGGTCAGGTTTCTATGGAAGAGCTCAAAACTTACACATACTTATTATTTATTCAGTAAACAACAATAAAACAATCTGCAGGAGCTGGAGGCAGCCTGCTGAGTGGTAGTTTGTTAACCACTTTATTTTTTTTTTGTTTTGTTTGTTGGAGGCAGGGGCTCACCCTGTGGTGCAGACAGGTCTGCGACTGCCAATACACCTGCCTTGACCTCCTGAGTGCTGGGATTGCAGGCATGTACTCCCATGCCAGCCTTACTTCTGCTTTTTTTTTTTTTTTTTTTTTTTTTTTTTTTTTTTTTTTTTTTGGTTTTTCGAGACAGGGTTTCTCTGTGGTTTTGGAGCCTGTCCTGGAACTAGCTCTTGTAGACCAGGCTGGTCTCGAACTCACAGAGATCCGCCTGCCTCTGCCTCCCGAGTGCTGGGATTAAAGGCGTGCGCCACCACCGCCCGGCTTCTTACTTCTGCTTTTTAACCTTGACTTTGGCAGCAAATATTCTGAGACGTTCCCTCACTCCCCTTCTTCCTTCTTCATGCCGGTGGCAGGCTTCAGTGCGGCTGTGGATACACCCAGTTTAGTCCTAGACTTTTGGATTCTCAGTGTAGCTGATGGCCCGTGCATCTCTGTGTTGACGGTAGCTTTAGCAGTGTGGTTAAGGGGACCAGTATTTGGTACAAGACACCCATAGCCAACCAGTCCCAACCTGCAAGAGCCATGGCGGCCGTGCTCAGGCTGGCTGGAGTTCCTTCAGTGGCTCTCTCTCTCTCTCCTCTTTAGCTATGTGTGTGTGTGTGGTGTGTATGTATGTGCATGTGGAAGTTGGAGTTTGATGTCAGAAATCATCCTCAGTTTCCTACCTTGTTGACTAAGGCAGGGTCTCTCAGTTGAACCCAAAGCTTGCTAACGATCAGTCTAAGTAGCCATCGTGCCATGGTCATCCTCTGTTCTCTACCTTCTGAGGCTGGAATTGTGGACAGGCCACCCAGCATGCACACGAGTCTCCCTGGGTTCTGAACTCTGGTCCTCATGTTTGCATGGCAAACAATCAATAGCTGAGCTATCTCCTCGTCCCCTCAGCCCCTCGCGCCTCTTTTGAGACAGAGTTTCATATAACCTACACCGGCCTTCAACTTGCTATGTAGCCAAAGATGATCTTGAGTTTCTGGCCCTTCTACCTTTACCTCAGTGTACTGGGATCACACCCAGCTTAGGTGGTCCTGGAGCCTGAAGGCAGCACTGTGTACGTGTGTGATAGGCGAGAACCGTAGTATCCAGCTACATCCGAGCCCCCATCTCACCTTTTCCAATTCACTGCAAGGATCTCTTCCAGTAAAACTGTGCGAGAGATCATGGCAGATGTGGTCAGGGAGACTTAGTTTTTCAAAAGGGAGGAAGGATGCTGAAATGGAATCCTTAAATGCTTATAATGTAAAAATCATTTAGATTCTGAAAAAAGGTTTCTATGTTTCATGCAGGATGTGGTTAGCAGAGGGATGGCTTCCTCCAAATGTAGCTCAGGGGAAAGTGCTCAGGCCTGGGTGCTAGGAGTCTGGGCTGGCCCTGTGCTGTGTGACCCTGGCTAGATCACTGGAGCGTGCTGGACTTCAGTCTCCTCATCTGTATGTCTGTTGTGTTATCTTGGGCCATGCTTATGCTTAGCACTATAGGATGGGTCTTGTTCGTTTACTTTAGAAATGGTCTCACTATGAAACCCAGGCTGGCCTTGAGCTCAGAATCCTCCTGCCTCAGCCTCCTGGGTGAGGTATCACACTTGCTCCCTGTGCCTTAGGCAAATGGGAAGCATCTGAATGCTTTAAAGTTGAAGCTGCTCGTTCGTCATTATGAAGACGGTAATGAGGATGATGACATGTGACATTTATTGGACATTTGATATGGATCGGCCACATCTCAGTAGTTTATTAATTCAGCCCTAATAATAATAATTCCATGGTGTAGGAATGATTTTTGCTCCCATTTTTCAGATGAGCAAAAGAAACTGAAGGCTGGATTGAGTGCCAGCACTTTGGTTCTGGGGTCTGTTTGCTTCCTCCCTGTGCTGCAAGAGGCCTGTTAATGGTTTATGGCCTTTCATAATGCTTTGCCAGTGGTTTACAGGTATTTGAAAAGAAATGTGAAAATATGTACATTGTTTTGTTTCTCGGCAAATTTCATAAAAATGCAGGGATTTATGTTGGACTTCAGTAGGAAATTGAACATATATCTAGCATCTCTGAATGCTCACTCATCTGCTGCATCTGTAGACACACACAGAAAAATTAGATCAAGGCTGGCAGGATGGCTCAGCAGGTAGTGACTTGTCACTAAGTCTGACAACCTAAGTTTGATCCCTTCGACCCACAAGGGGGAAGGTGGCGACTCCTGCAAATTGTTCTGAGGTGTGTGTGTGCGCGCGCGTGCACACACACTCACCATGTGATCTTAAAAAAATAAAAACTCAACTAGGTTGGGTAGCAACATAATTCAAGAGGTCAAGGAATTATTGCTTCCAGGTCTTTGTTTTATATATTCTGTGTTTGCCAAGTGGAAACAATTATTTTAAATATTGTGACAGACAAACAGATGTGTGCACATGTTGGCTGCATTTGAGGAGGTGTTTAAGCTGACTCATCAGAAAAGGGCAGATGACTTCACTAACGGGGCCAAGCACAAATGCTCTACGATTAGGCTTATAGCATCGAATGAACAAGTCTATTCCAAGATATCAGCTAACGATGCCAAGTGCCCTGGGTGCCTATGCCAAGCTGTAAGGTCAGGCCGGGCAGGGCTGGCCATCTAGTGAGGTTAATGGGAGGCACCTGCCACTTTCAGCAGAAGCTGGAAACCCGGGGCAGCCTCAAAATGAGCATTTAGATGCAATGGTTCGGCATGTGAAGAGTTCCTGGTGGAATGCCGTGTGAAAAATGCAAGACATGAAACTGTGCACAGCTTGGTTCTGATTTGTTGGTGGGAAATGGTGTCTTCATACAGCAGCAGGAATGTGGGCATAATAACGTATCCAGTGTCAGTGATTTCCTCCCCTGTTTTTTTGAGATAGGGGTCTCAATATATAGTTCAGGCTGGCCTCGAACTTTCAATCTTGTGTCTCAGCTTCCTAAGTGCTGGGATTACAGCCATGCAGCACCATGTCTGATAGAGATTGTCTTTATATGTCCCCATGTCATCCACATTGTCTGCATGGGGAGATGGCTCAGAAGGTGAAGGACTTGCCCTGTGCAAGCAGGGACCTAAGTTTGATTCCTCGGAATCCACATTTACAAAAGCTGAGTAGAGTTCTGTGGAATGGCTCAGCCAGCAATGGTGCCTGCTGCCAACCTGAGGATTTTTGATCCTTGGAGCACATATGGTTAAGGACAGGACAGACTCCAGAAAATTGTGCTCTTTCTGTCTGTCTGCCTGTTTATCATTTTCCTCTCTGTCTCTCTTTCTATCTGTCTCTTCTGTCTCTCTCTTTCTATTTCTCTATCTTTCTGTCTCTCTCTGTCTCTCTTTCTGTCTCTGTCTCTGTCTCTGTCTCTGTCTCTCTCTCTCTCTCTCTCTCTCTCTCTCTCTCTCTCTCTCTCACACACACACACACACACACACACACACACACACTTACATTCCCAGCTCCATTGTAACAGACACAGGCAGATCTCTGGAGCCACCAGCCTAGCCCAGTAACAACATCTGAGGTTGTCTTTTGGCCTTTACACATACTCACACACTATTCACAGGCACACACAGGAACATGCAGACATGCACACATATACAGGCATGTAAATAGTAGTCTATAATGAACACACGGTACTTTAACAATGACTTAAAATTCTACCAAGTAATAGTTTGGAACAGCGCTTTTCTTGAGAAAGTCACCATTTTATTATGTGCCCTGGTCTCCTGGAGGCCCCATGTGTGGGTCCTGCTGGAAGTCTTCACTAAGGTTCCCCAAGCGCCTGCAGGGTGTCAGTGTTGCCAGACTCTGGGCACAGGGAAGTCACTGATGCCTTTACTGCTTAAATACAGCAAGCCTTCATGCAAGGTTTTCATTGTTTATGAAGAGTATTTGATTACTTAAACAAGTGGAGAACGACCTAGGGGAACTCCCCGGTTGTGCTGAGGCCCACAGTGAAATGGACTCAGGTTCATGTCAGAACCACAACAAGGATTCTGGGACACTCCTGGCTCTAGCTGCGTGGGTCCTTTCTATAAAGTTTGTTGGTTTTAATTGAATAAAGTTTTGGTTGTGCAAGTGTGCAGTCTGTTGAACCTGCTCCTGAATCTTTGGCAGTAGTTGGGGCGTCTCCATCCTTTGTGGTTCTGGTGTGAACTTGGGTTCTGTGCTCTGTGGTCAGTTTGCACCTTTGCTAAGGCGGCCCTGAAGGCTGCTCCGGCCAGGGAACCGGAATCTTCGGTCTCTCAGAGACCACAGCTGGAAACTTTCTACAGAGTTTGTCAAGCACATCCTTTCTAGTTAATTTCCCTGGTGGGTGGGTGTATTAATCTTATTTGTGGAGTCTTTAGGGCGAAGAAAGCAACACGAGAGCCCTAACAGAGGACAGACAGGTTCAGTTCTTTAGTCCTGCAGGTGGAAGCTGAGCTCTAGTGAGGGGAAGAGTCTCTGGTGGGGCTGAAAATATACCTGAGAGCCAGCTCAGCCCACTTGGACCAGGAGCCCATCAGCTTCTTTCTTCAGAAAAGGAGTCACTCAGCCAGGTGTGGTAGTGCACACCTGTAATCCCAGCACCTAGGAGAGTCAGGAAGCTCAGGATTTCAAGGATAGCCTTGGGTAGATAGGGAGCTTGAGTCTAGTCTGAGTTACATGAGATTCTGCCTCAGAAAACCTAACAAACCAAAACAAAGAAAATAAAAAAACTGAACAGAGAGGCACCGAGGGTTCAGGGTGATGCCAACCATCCAAAGACACCCAGGGAGAAAACTTCTCGGAACTCACAGTTCCCAGTCCGGGCCATTATCTCCCACCCCGGCCTGGCCCCTTTGCTGTATCTCTGCAAAACTAGCTAAGATTTCTTTTTCACTCTTCCTCCTCCTCCTTCTCCTCCTCCTCCTTCTCCTCTTCCTCCCCCTCCTCCTCCACCACCACCTCCTCCTCCTCCTCCTCCTCCTTCTTCTTCTTTCTTTTTTTTTTTTAAATAGGGGCTCATGTATACTACACTAGGTTTGGACTTGCTATGTAGCTGAGGATAACTTTGAACTTCTGATTTCCTTCCCTCTCCCTCCTCCCTAGTGCTGGGACTGTGGGTGTGGTACCAACACACACAGCTCCATCCTTGCTAGGGGTGGAGTCCAAGGCTTTGCTCATGCTAGGTGAGCACTCTACCAAGGGAGCCACTCCCCAGCCTCAGGGTCTCTCTCTTTCCTTCTCAATGGTAAATAGTCATTTGTTTTTCTTTTTTCCCCCCTAACTGCCTACAGGATCATCCGGACAAAAGTACAGCAGCCCCCCAACCAGGCAGTCCCAGCTTCCAGTCACAGCATAGGTAAGAACTTTTTAAAAAAAATTTGAAAATCTAATGGGCTCCAAATATTCTAAAGAACTTTTAATCATTCTTATGGACAGATAATTCTGCATAAAACACTTCACACGCGTCCTAATGCTCTCTCTTTGTCATTCTCCAAGGGCTGAACCTGGCAAATGAATTTTATAAATACCGCTAAAAGGTTTTGAATTTTACTGATTATTATGATAAATAGCTTTCACCAGGAGACAGAAAATTGAAATCTAAGCCAAAAAAAATCCACTAATGGGGGTCTATAGAATGTCAGATAATTAAAGTAATAAATCAAGAAAGGGATACTTATTCATAACATTTTCTGCATCATTAGCCAGTAAGTAGTTTTGAATGTGTGTTTTTTTCTTTTATAACCAGCCTTCTGCAGTTCTTTGTGCACTTGCAGTCTTGAGTGAAGATGTAGCAAAACTTTCCAAACTTTTTTCCTCTCTTGCTTCACTCTCTCGTGCGCTGCCAACTGTTGAGGGCTGCCTGTGGGGTTTCTGAGGTCCAGGGGAAGTCTAAGCCACCATGATTCATAAGGGTGGACTCCTAACTTGTCACACTCCAAAGTCTAAACTTTTTGCTTGCTTCCTCTTCTAAGAGGAGTTGAAAATGACATTGATAATCAAGGCAGTTCTTGATGTCATTTCTCCACTTGGCACAAGGGGATACTTCTGGGTTGCTGGGGGAAAGTTGCTTTACTGTAAGGAAGCAGGTGGCTATTCAGTAGGCGTCTGCTGATTCGGGTACCACAGACCCCAAGAATTCTGCAGCACTGTATCTTAGGTTGTGCAGTATTCAGTGCATTTATCACTGCCAGGTGTGTATGTGAAATGTGTGTGTGCTTCCTTGAGGAGACCAGAAGAGGGCAATGGAGTCTTTGGATCTGGAGTTAAAGGCAGTCAAGCTATTTGATATGGGTTCTGGCAACTGAACTCAGGTCCTCTGGAAGTTCTCTTAGCAAGTGCTCTTAGCCAGTGAGCCTTCTCTCCTGCCTCCACTGCCATTTTTTCTTTAAAGAAAAACCTGAACTTCTGGCAGAGACCTGACTTATTGCTCTAATTCTGTCATTAGCTCACCCAGTCAACTAGACCAGTGTCTCACCTCTGAGCATCAGTTTCTGCCTTATTGTATGGGGAAGGGATACAAAATGGGTGTTCCCTGTGATTTCTGATTTCCCCAAGGGTGGCTCTTTGAAGGAAGGTAAGATAGAAGTCCTCTCTGCCCACGACCATTCTTCATTCTGTACTGCCATTAGACAGACTTTACTATGCCCTTGCTATGAGAACCCTGGGGTTGGGGAGCAATGCCAGACAAAAGTCCCTGTCCTCGAGGGCTTTCAGTCCCATGGAAGAATGTGGGAAGGGAGTTTGAAAAACAAAACAAACAAACAAACAAACAAAAAACAAATGAAAACACCAACAAAACAGAACACCAAAGCCCAGGAAACAGGTCTACATGAGTAGCAGGAAGGGGCCATCTCTCTCCTGGATGGAAAGACAGGGCTGAGAAGGGCTTCCTGAGTGTGGTGGTGGAGGGTGTTTGTGATTGAGATTTCACTTGTGGCTTTAACTGTTTCAGAGCACATAGCATGAAAAAGAATCAAACTATCCCTCAGTAGCATTACAGGAATAATTCTACAGTAATTCAGCAGAGTGATTTGTTTTATCCCAGAAATTTCTATGAAAACTTTATCTCACATGTATGCAGCTTCATATAGTTTCCAGACTTGTTGAGCATCAATGACAGTTGGAGCTCACAGGTTCAGTGACTACTCTAAAGTCCTGTGTGAAGACAGAACTGGAACCTGAGTCCTCTGTTCCCAGTGTGACTGCAAAATACGTAACCAAGTGTCATCCGTTCTGTCAGGGACACAGCCAACCTTGTTTTCCGCGTGGCTGTTGACGCGCCAAGTGGTCTCTTTACTCCTTTGTTCTTGCACCTCAATACAGAGAGGTCATGGGATTTGCATACATCTATTTTGAGGAGCCTTTTTTTTTTCTGGTAAAGGGAAAGGGAAGTTCACAATTTCTGCATTGGTGTTTATTTTTTTGTTTTTTTTTTTAATTTTTTTGGTTTTTCGAGACAAGGTTTCTCTGTGGTTTTGGAGCCTGTCCTGGAACTAGCTCTTGTAGACCAGGCTGGTCTCAAAGTCACAGAGATCAGCCTGCCTCTGCCTCCAAAGTGCTGGGCTTAAAGGCGTGCGCCACCACCGCCCGGCTGCATTGGTGTTTCTTAAGGGAGATCTAAGCTCAAGCTTGAATGTGAAAAGAAAGGCCCTGTACCCTGTAGGTCTCTGGAGCCAGAGACTGCCTCTGCTCCATGGAAAAGTGGCTTATTCCTCCACCCGTGCCCTGCTCTGCAGAGTAAAGGCTCCATCTGCTTCCAGTTGGCGGCTCAGGGAGAGGTGTGTGAGAGCGATCTACTAGTGTCAATGAAGAGAGGAAGAACCCCCACATCTCATAAGTGGAAATCCAGCCCATAGCTAGAGAGGACCTTCATAGGTCCCCTGGACTCTAGTCATTGTGAAACTTGCTTAAGTCCCTCCTCTTTTTCCCTCTGGGACTTAGAGACCTGGCCCTGGCTACAGTAAATCACCACCCCTGTTTCCCCTTCCAGGAAGGGAAAGTTTAGACCTGAGGATAGCTGTGAGTGCTGCGTAGCTAGACTACTTTGAAGCTCTTCACCATATGAAACCAACTCCCCTCATTTGGCGAACAGTAAAACAATCAGTAGCACCCTGGGGTGCTGCAACGGGCAAGTGAAAAGCGGGGTGGCAGTGGGAGGGGGACATGTTGTCTTTCTCCATATTTCACGGTGGAGGGCATTCATTTATTACACGTTATTTACTCTCTAAGACTATCTGTATGCAGGCATGGCTGGAATGTAAGCAGAGATGAACGTGATTCAAGTATGCATCTAGGTCTTTTCCTGGCATTGGAGGTGGCATCAGCTGCCCTCCTCCAGTGCCCTCCTGTCTCCTGAACCCTTGGACTGGCAGAGATCTTAGCAATTCCCTGTATTTATTTATTTATTTATTTATTTAGTTAGTTAGTTAGTTTTTTGAGACAGGGTTTCTCTAGCTTTGGAGCCTATCCTGGAACTCGCTCTTGTAGACCAGGCTGGCCTCGAACTCACAGAAATCTGCCTGCCTCTGCCTCCCCAGTGCTGGGATTAAAGGTGTGCGCTACCACCACCTGGCAGCAGCAATTCCCTTTTTATTCTGTGCTTGCACTCCTTTCTGCTGGGTCTGTGGCAGTTGTACCCAGCCCCGTGTCTTCTAGTGAGCACCCTTGTGACAGGCCCACACCCCTCTCCTTCTACAGTGTCAACAGGCTCAGTGACGCAGGTGTCATCGGTGAGCACCGACTCTGCAGGCTCCTCATACTCCATCAGTGGCATCTTGGGCATCACGTCCCCCAGTGCCGACACCAACAAGCGCAAGAGGGATGAAGGTAAGAGATGGCTACGCATCCCTGTCAGGGATGGACCAAATAGGGTCTATGAGGGGCACTCATAGAGGGCGAGCAAAAGTGCCAGCTCAACACCCTTACCTGCAGAGGACCAAGTTCCAAGGCTCTGTCCTTTCTCTGAGACAAGGAAGACAGACAAGCTCCTGTCTGGGACTCTTTCCTTGCTGGGCTCCACCCATTTTCACTCCTTTGGTGAGAAACGCCACTGTGGCCTGTGCTTCCCTGTTTTTAAGAGGATCCTGAGGACAGAGGACCCCAGGGCTGCTGTGTAGATGGTCTTAGCTCGGTGACAATGTCTCCTCTTTGGGTTTTGGAGGCAAGAGATGGGTTGGGGAGGGGAAGCCACTGCTTTGCTCTGCAGTGAGGGGCATGTGTGGGGAGAAAGGGCAGGAACTGGGAACACTCCTCTGTGGAGAGATGATCATGAAGGGTGGAGGGAAATACACTATCCCCTTTTTGCCCTTGCACCTGAGATGAAGGAGCAGCAGGGCCTCCTGGGGATTTCAAAGATGACACCTTCTCCGGTGCTACCTGCGCTATTGGAGCTGGCCACCTCTGTGTAGGGCACAGGCTGCTGTAACCTGGCCTCCGCCCACTAAAAGACCCCCCTGGGAGTCTGTAAAACCTTAGTCAGAAAATGTGTGTGTGTGTGTGTGTGTGTGTCTGTGTGTGTCTGTGTGTGTCTGTGTGCGTGTGCATGCATGCAGGTTGTGGTCTGGGGCTGGAGAGCAGAATGGCAGGAACTTTGATTCAGTTATCTATCTGCTGGCACGTTTCTTCCTCAGCATCATGTAAGGGATGCCTGTTGTCATGAATACAGGCCTAATCACTTAACATCTGCACCTAGAAAATTTAGTGAGCCCAGTGGGTGGATTGGCCTGGGGTCTCTATGCCCCAGGCATTGGAGCTAGCCTCTGTGTGCAGTGGTAGTCCAAGCTGGCATGATTCATGGTTCTCGAAGTCAGCTTCATCTCCTTCCCTTGCTCCCATACTTCGGAACAGATGTCAGAAGTGTTTAACTCAGTGGGTTGCTGTGCCAGCTTGCTGCGGGAGGCAGTGGGCCTGCCATCTCTGTTGGTTTATGGAGTTGATGGTGTCATCTTTTTCTCCGTGTCACATGGACTCCAAGCAGATGTATCAAGCTGGTGCCTGGCTATGTTTGATCATAGTGAAGGGGTGGGTTATTGGATGCCACTTTGCAGCTGAAAAACTCAGGCAGAGATTTTTGGAGAAAGCAAAAAAAAAAAAAATCTAGTTTAATGTTTACTAACAGACATGTTTTGATGGCGGGAGGCCATGGCGCTAGAGAGTTAAAGTTTAACTGTCTTTGGCCAGTTTGGCCTCTCAGCCAGGCACACAGTAGGTTATAGGGGCCAGCGGGCCTTGAAGGTTGGTTAATCAGCTTGTTTACTGAGGATGGCGGCTGCTCTGGGGAACTGATTTTAAAACATTTATTTATTTATGGGTGGGGGTGCATCAGTGCCATGGCACACACATGGGATCAGAGGACAGCATGCAGAAGTCGGGATGTAGTGGCGCGTGCCTGTGATCCTAGCACTGGGCAGGTGGAGACAGGAATATGAGCCCAGAGCCAGTGTGGGCTGCACGGCGAGGGCCTGTCTCAAAGACAACAAAACAGAAACAGAAACAAAAAAACAAGCAAAACATGACCGTTCAGAATGAGATGTAGGAATGGGTGCTCTGTGGTCCTCCCAGTCCTGAAACTTTAGTAGTCTTGAACTCTAGGAAGACTTTGCATGAAATCTCAGTCTGTGGTATGGAGGCTAAGAAGGACTTGGTAGTCTTAGAAGTTTTGCAGGATTGAGAAAAATGGAGACCTGAGTGAGGCCCCTCATGGCTGCCCTGCTTCAACAAGAACAGAGTAGATCCAGCAGAGAAGTGGTTTCTGTTGAGATGCCTCAGGACCAGGGGCCCTGCACAGGTCTCCTCCTTCCTCATCCTTTCTTCTGTATTCCCCCGGATCTCTGCATTAGCCCCAAAGAGAGGTGAAGGGGAAGAGCCAGCGCCCTCATTTTAGCAGGGAAGGTAACCGAGGGTCCAGGGTGCTCTGTGCCATTGGCAGTCACTCAACTTGTTTAGACTGGGACTGAAGAACCCTGCGGCTTCACCCCCTGGTGTTATCTGAACGCTTGTCACTGCCCCGTCCTCCAGCTCCTTTCTGGAGGTGAAACAGCCTGTGGCTGGGCAGAACCTGTGGTGGGTCCTGAGAGAGTGGCAGGCAGCAGAGCGTGGTTAGTAGGTTGGATGATGTTGTTGAGGGTGTTGGTGAAGTGAGACCTTGAGGTCAAGGGTTTGGGAGCAAAGGGTAACCCAGGCAACTGAGAGAGTGACTGGGCACAGCAGGGACCAGCTGGGATGAGGTGTCTCGCTCTGGATACGGAAGGGTGCTGGCCTCTAGCATGATAAGCAGGCCTCAGGAAGTCTCTGCAGGAAAGGGGTATTCGAAGGTCAGGAGGAAGACAGTCTCGCTCTGCATCTTCGTGTGGAGCTGAGACATCCTGGTGTGGTCCCCCACTTGGCTCGCTGGTGCACTATCATCTCCAGCTTGGACTTGGGCTTTGCCCTGTGAGCATCCCTACCTAGACCTCAGGTCTGGGGAGTCAGTGATTGGATACAATCTCAGGCAGAGGGCAGGCTAGGGGGATCAACTGAAGTCTCTAAGTCTCTCCACAGGGCAGAGTGTGAGGTGACACTCTCCATGGGGGCCAAGTGAGCAAGGTAGAGAGTGGCCTGTTTAGATCTGAGGGGTCTAGGAAGGCTCATCTCAGGAGAGCATTAGAGGGCTAAGGAGAGAGAACGTGCCAGTTAAAGGTAATGGAGAGTGTGCCAGTCTGGGACTCCAGTGAGCATGTACAGAGAAAGGGCCAGCCCCGGCACTTGGACAGGGAGAGAGGTGGCCAACATGTCAGGTGCTGAATACTGACTATAGCCCCTGAAAATTTAGTTTGAAAATACAGCAGCTTTAGAGACTCAAGAAATACTGTGCCAGCCGGGCAGTGGTGGCGCACGCCTTTAGTCCCAGCACTCGGGAGGCAGAGGCAGGTGGATCTCTGTGAGTTCGAGACCAGCCTGGTCTACAAGAGCTAGTTCCAGGACAGGCACCAAAGCTACACAGAGAAACCCTGTCTCGAAAAACAAAAAGAAATACAGCGCTGAATGTCTGAGGTGTTGATGTGGTTGTGGAAATGACTGGCCCACCAGCCCTGTTCACTAGAAGCAGAAAAGAAGCCATGAGTGTAATTAACCATTTTCTGGAGTAACAATAAGGACACAAGAGTGACCGTGTCCTCCTCTACTCCTAGCACTCAAAGGCCAGCCTGGCTACCAGCAAGTATTTAAAAAATACTAAAATCAAAGCCGGGCGTGGTAATACCCAGGAGATCAGGAGTTTAAGGTCAGCCTCTGACTGTAGTAAGTTTGAGGCTAGCTTGGGTTATGGGAGCCTAGTCTCAAAAGATAAACAAAAAATAAACAAACACAAATTCAATCAACCAAGCAATCCCCCACCCCAACCCAAAAATGAGTAGAAAGAAAAAGAAAGAAATGGAATTAGGGGTTGAGAAGAAGGCTCGGTTGGTAAAATGCTTGCCAAACAATCATGAGAGCCTGGGTTTGTACCCTCTGCATCCTAAAAAGCTTCAAACAGTGGTGTGAGCCTATAATCGTGCTCTGGGGAAACAGGCAGAGGGTCCTTGTGCTCACTGGCTCACCAGCCTGGTAGAACTGCTAAGCTCCAAATTCATTGAAAGTCCTGCCTCAATAGATGATAGATAGATAGATAGATAGATAGATAGATAGATAGATAGATAGATAGATCTGGAGGGTGATAGAGAAGACATTTGACATGAATATCTGATCTTCATATGCTGTGCACCCACCCACACTTTTGTGTGCACACACGCACACTTACACAGAAACAAGTGGAATCAATCTTAGCATATTTCCCTAGTCTGAACATTGTCATTCCAACATATAACCGAGCCTCAGGATATGCCATGCTGCCTCTATCTGCTGGAGCTAAGTTGTTGAAATATAGTGTGCATTTTACAGGCACAACACAACCTCAAACTGGATGTTTTCAATCTTGTCAAAACAATGAAGTTTTATAACTTGTGTGACTTTCGTTTTGTTATTTGCTATTTGTTTTTAATTTATTAACGAGTATTAGCGTTGTATATGGGTGATGTGTGTGAGTTAGGGTCTTCGCATGCCACAGAGCACATGTGGTTCTTGCGGGTCAGCTTTGTGGACCTGATTCTCTCCTTCTACCTATATACGGGTTCATGGTTGAACTCATGTCCTCAAGCTTGCGCCACAGAGCCTTCCACCCTGAGCAGTCTGCCTTCCTGGTTTCTGCTTTTAACATTTAAGTGCACTGAAATGAAATGAAAAACATATTAGACAAATGTGACGGTAGAACTTGTCTATAATCTCAGCCCTTGGGGGAATGATGCAGGAGGCTGGGTGGCTGTGAGTCTGAAGGCAGCCTGAGTCGGGGTGAGTTCAAGGCCAGCCGAGGATACATAGCCAAACTGTTTTAAAACAAGAAGAAAAGGCCTTTAGCTGTCAGCTGCATGAACCATATTTCCAGTGCTCACCCATCACAGTGGGCTAATGGCTACTGTATTGAGCAACATGACGCACGTAATAGGTGGTCAATAAATGCTTATTGGTAGAATGGGTAACCATGAACCTTCAGAGAGATCATAGCTAATGAGGAGGGCAAATGGAGTCTCTTGTCTCTTCAGTCCCAGGATTCTGTCTAGCAGGTTAGGGCCTCCACAGAAAACCCTGCTTGAGTAGAGTCTCAGAGCCACACAAACAGCTTAGGACATTGGCAGACCAGCACGTCGGCAAGAGACCTTTCAGACTAGAAATTCCAACTTCCTCTCCAGGATGTGTCTGGGACCATACCTGGGGAGATGACCATTGTGCCCAAAGTTCAGATGGACAGTTGTGTG